GCATCCTGAATAGTAGTACGTCGCCCCGCTTCGTTTCTGTCAAAAGTTAAGTAGCGCTGCAGATTGGATAATAATGTCCGGATGTGAATAGGCGATAAATGCAGCTGTGCAACTGTAAGGGCAGAGGACCTCTGTAAGGGCAGAGGTCCACCATGGACGGGATGCAAGGCGGCCAGTCCTACCCTGCTGCATGCCCTGATCTCGAGCCAAGTCGATGACGTGGCATAGCCCCGATCCTAAGCCACCACGCCGAGCTCAAGGCTCCCTCGTGATTGTATCGCTGCCTGAATCTAGTTTGGACACCAACCACCCAAATATCCCGAGAAGTCATGTCACACTCAATGGCTGAGACTGCGTCCTCTACTGAACCCGGACCTGAGCAATGCGACGTATGTTTCAGCCTGCGGTACTCGCGCAAGCGGGATAACCAACTGCTCAATCTGCCGGCACACATGCCCTACGGGCAGAACTGGGTTACAAGGCACATTAACGAATTCGAGGCATCAAGTGCACGAGGATGCCACGTGTGTGACTTCATCGTAAATGTAATGCAGCATTTCGAGATCGTACCAGAGGCCAGAAAAAGCATCTCGGTAGCCATCAATGGCCATGGTCAGGCCGTAGTGCTTCTGTCGTGGTCATACACGACGATACAGGTTTATACACCGAGCGGTAAATGCCTCCCATATCTTTTTTTTTCCCAAAAACGAATTTCCTCCAGTGTTCCAGCATCTGATACACCTTAATCCAGGTTACCCACCGGCGTGGGAAGGCCTCGTGAACAGCAACGAGCTCAGTCTGCATGCCGATTCTTCGGAGGCATATACCTTCATTGAAACTTGCCTCGCCAAATGCAACCAGCATCTGAAATGTCGGCCTCTTCCATCTCAACCCCCTGCACGGCTCATCGATGTTGGCTCCCTTAGCGACACCAAGGTTCGACTTATTGACAACATTCCTACAACTCAATCACCCTACATCGCTCTCAGCTACTGCTGGGGAAAAGCCAAAGTCGTCAAGACGACGCAGGCAAACTACCAGGCCATGAAGCGGGGAATACAGATATCTACCCTGCCTTTAACCATCTAGGATGCGGTCAAGGTAACGCGGAGGCTAAAGCAGCGATATCTATGGGTCGACGCAATCTGCATCATTCAGGACTCGGCACCAGACTGGGAGGTCGAGTCAAGCAACATGGCATCTACCTACCGCGGCGCCTACCTCACCATCTCAGCCGGCACATCTGATTCGGTAACGGATGGCTTTCTCAATTGCAGACATACCGCGGCCCAGGAGAATGAGCCCTTCACGATGGCATGGAAAACGACAAGTGGCGCGCAGACCGGCCTGTGTGCAAGAATCATACCCCCTCTGGAGTCGCACTCACCATCAGGCGGCGAAGAAGTTCTGCCGACATCGCTTCGGGGTTGGACGTTACAGGAGAATCAGTTGTCGACGAGGGTGCTAACTTATACTACTCATGAGATGCGGTGGAGCTGCTTGAACGGGTTGGCTTGCGAATGTAAGACTTTTGATTCACTACCGGGTAGCGCCGAGTCAATCTTTTCCATCAGCGACCATAACGCAGCCTACTTATACTGGCAAGACACTGTCATGGAGTTCACAGCCCGCGAACTCACAAATCCACTGGACACCTTCCCTGCCCTATCCGGGATTGCGCGGGAGGTCCAGGGTATCACTAACTCCCGGTATATCGCCGGGCTATGGTCCGACAACTTCATTAGTGACCTTGCGTGGGAATCACTGGATCATGTAGAGGATGGATCTGGGTCTATGGCGTCAGTACTCAGTCAATTCCGCGCCCCGACTTTCTCCTGGGCGTCGGTGAACGAACCGGGATATCGCACCAGTGAAATCTGGGTCTCGGCCGATTCTTGCACTTTGGTCGGGGCCGAGTCAGAGGTTCCGGGTCTAAACCCGCTGGGCCGGGTCCAAAGTGGATATGCAACGCTACGGGGGCTCATGCTCAAAACCACACTGGAGACCACCGTGACGAAAAGCGGGAGAAAAGAATATCTCGTTCACTGTGCCGGGACGCAGTTCCAAATCACACCTGACACATACCTAGAAACATTTGACACCTCCATCCATCACCCCGGATCTAGTGAGCGATCCGTCCGCCGATCACCACCGGGGTCGTCAAAAACGCAGGTTGAGCCTGGAACTACGGCGTTTCTCTTCTATCTCGGATACCTTCGCGGACCACGTGTCAAACAAAAGTACGATATGAGGCTCCGAGTCCGCTCGTATCTTCTTCTCGGGAGGTCCCCGACGGATGTGGACAAGTATGAGCGGGTTGGCATCGTATTTGGTGGACGATTGACGGAAGGGCAGCTTGCAGGAACACCGGAGCCTTTGGTACGGTCGGAGGAGTTGAAGGATTAGAAGAAGTTATTACGGTGGTTTGAGTGTTCGTATTATTCTATCCCTATTTACGCGAAATGACAGTACCCCTTCATAGAAGGTCCTCTCTGGCGGGGCGGAGTCGGAGTAGTCAACGCATCCCACTCTGCTTAAAGTTACCAGTTGGTAAATAAAGAATACGAGAGAGTAAATGGTTCACCTGTCCTCTGACTGAAGAACGGGAAGACTCTACGTGAATACGGTGGACAGGCCATCAAGAGCGACGAGAGGATGAGGTTAATCCAACAACAGGCGCCAGCCCCGAACGGGTGGTTATTTCAAACGTTTCCGCCCACAAAGTCTGTCACAGGTAAACCCTTTTTCTTCCTAACGATGCAGCTAATAGCTGGCAGAATGGGCCCCCAAACACTCACCTTATAATACCCAAACCGCAACGTCCTGCTATGAAATCCAATGTCTGTAGTGTTCGTAGATTCGTCCTAAATATGCTGGTGTCAATCCAACTTAATACCGCGAGACTATCACATGACGCTCCGACATATACCACGCCCTCCCTGGCAAATTATACATAATGTCAAGGGCCGCGAGTGCGAGTGGTGCTAGTACATTAGTTGCCAGAATTGAGTTTACCTAGGGAGAGCCGGCTATGTGACTATGATGTATTCTTAGCCTGCTGGATACTAGGGGGTACCTTGTTCCCGCCCTTTTTAAAGGGAAGTATATATATATGTACATTGAAAGACGGGAGCTTCGTTTTCCGACAGTCACATCACGATATCCATCAATCAAGAGGTACGTATAAGTTCTTGCCAACGCCAGGATCTCTCCTCGCCCACACATATATTTTGCCCAAGAATAGTATATCGGAACATCTTCCCAGTATCATTCAAAATGGGAATGAAGGTGTTGGGCATACATTCTCCGCCGTCATCAGATTATAAGCTAAATTTGCACGTTAGAAACTAAATCTTTGCGGGCCGCTACTGTCATTGGGACGAATCGAAGAAACATGGCATTGGGTGTTCAAGTCGACTGTCCAGAGATTCTAGACGAGGGAATCCTTGTAGATTATATCAGTCCCTTGACCGTACGTCTTTGCACACAATACCTCCTCTGGTTCACCGGTATATCTTGATTAGTGACTGACTGTGATAATGTGACTAAGGCTAGCCTAAACGTCGGAAACCACACTCATACAACTGCCGCGAGGGGCGAGACTCCTCCTAACTATGACCCTACGAAGATATGGACGACACTGATAACCAATAGAAAGTACTTTGGCGGGGCGCTTATCCTCGACCACACGCTGCGCAAGACGGGATCCAGATATCAGCTCAAGATTATGGTGACACGCGATGTCGAAGCAGACACGGAGTATATGGATGCCTTTAGGGCTGCTGGCATACCTACCATTGTTGTCGACAAGATCGAGCCCGCGCCTCGGGATGGCGTGGTAAACAAGGGGACTTGGGAAAAGCTTACACCGTGGAGCCTGACAGAATACGATGTGAGTTCCAGCTACCACGAGAATCTGACCGGCGATGTTAACGGATGTACAGAGAATTGTTCTTCTCGACAGCGACCAGATCATCCTCAGTAACATCGACGACATGATGGATATGGATCTTCCGGAGGGCTTTATCATGGCGGCCCACGCCTGTACTTGCAATCCTCGCAAACTTGCCCGCTATAGCAAGGACTGGTGGGTTGACGTCCATTTGGGCTGGCTAGGGCATTGAACTCCCATTAACGCGCCACAGGGTCCCCGAAAACTGCGCTTTCTCGGCCGCAGACAAGGCAACGGGCCAGCCGGCGGCCATCACGGAAGAGAGCCACGCAAACCATCACCTTCTCAACAGCGGAACCGTAATCCTCCGCCCTTCGAAGAAGGAGTATAGCGCCCTGATCGACGCCATGAACACGCATCCAGATGTGCCGAACATGCTATTCTTTGACCAGGACCTCCTTGCTGTTGTGTACCGTCACAAGTGGAAGCCACTGCCATACACGTACAATTCACTGAAGACGTTACGGGGATGTCACAGTGATCTCTGGAAGGACAGGGACGTCAAGGTTCTACACTACATCCTGAATAAGCCGTGGGATGATAGGAATTATAATTCCGACTCGGTTGAATCTACTCACAAGTTATGGTGGGATTTGTATGACGAGGTTGAAAAGGAGTGGACTGAGAGTCAGGATGAGAACAAGCGGAGGCTTTGGCAAAAGGTCGTGGTTCCGGTTGTTGCGCAGGAGTGATAGCTATACCACAGGCAGGGAGGTATTCCCAGATGAGCGGAATACAAGAAAAACCCTTGTTAAAGGAAGCACCTCTACGTGGAAGGAGCCTACACAGGGAGTCCAGGACGAATTTGAGAGCCGCCTTATACCCAAATGGATTTTATCGCTTCTGGGTCGACATAACAGATCGGGAAGAGGCTATTAGTAAACCATATGGATATAGGGTACAAAGTCCGACACGTAATACTCATCATGTATCCACTGGCACATTCTAGCTCCTAGACATTTATTATCGCTGGGTGAGAAGCCCACGAGCCCCATGCTCCTGCTTCTCATTGTCTCACGGAAACGCCCTCCCCCTAAGAAACTGACATGGTTCGGTGGTGTAGTTGGTTATCACGCTTGCCTCACATCTAAAAAAGATGTCAGGTCGCAAGAGGTCTCCGGTTCGAACCCGGGCCGAATCATCCTTTTTTTTTTCATTTTGTTCCTGTCAACCTGAGAGGCCCACTTTGCTAATGGATGGATGTTCCACCGAGCTCCACGGATATCCGAACCAGATACGTTCAGACAGATCCAGATCCGGAACATTGCTGCTTCTAGCACAAGCCTTGGCTGAGCAGAGCAACACCAGCCTGTCTCAGTGGCTTAACCGGCATAACTTCAACCCGAATGTCTTGTAAAGGAAGGACAAGCGTTCCCATCTGCGTCCTTCGTTGCAAGGGCACGTGACCCACCTTCTGTACTGTCTAGTTATGTCATTTCGGTCATCTCTCCTTTCATCCTAATTCCATTAGTTTGCCCGTTCGTTTGTGATCTCCCCCCTAGATATCACAAGAGACAAGCAGAAAAGTGGTGACACGAAAGATCTAATCACACGAAAAAAAATTATTGGTATCATCATGAAGCTCAAATTCAAGGTGCAAACAGCACCGCAAGACAAACACGTCTCCAATCGAACGGACCATGCTCTACCCTCTAGTCTCACCTTCGTCACTGTTGACCGCCCGATGCAGATTAAGAGTAAGGCTACTCAACGCCAGATTCGTCGACATGTCATGAAAGACATTGGCCGTTCAAGAAGGAAGGGAGCAGCTCACCTTTCAAATACACACCAAGCTGCCATTGTGGTGCCAACGTCTCTCCCGCATTGCATCCCGTCTTACTGGGGCGAGGTCAAGGTCTGCATCAACTTCCAACGTCTCTTCTGGTCGATGGACATGGTTTCCGAGGGACTTCTAGCCTTGGCGGTGGTTGATTCTTCTCGCAAATTCCGCGAGAGGTTGGACAAGACTATCGAGAATACGTTACAGCGAAACTATGCGCCACATCAGGCCGAGTCTATGGATGAGATGAAGCAATACACGGAATCGCTCAGCCTTGTTCGCCAATCCATCGCTGCACCAGAGAGCCAGGTTAGCCGCCACGCCATCATCGGCACTATCATTTGCTTAGCGGTGTTTGATGTAAGATGACAATGTGATCTTCATCTGCTTGGCAATGCGATCTCATACTGACTGGCACAGATGAATGTCCGTAATCGCGAACGATGGACGATGCACATGAAGGGGCTAGACAGGCTAGTTCAGCTCAGTGGCGGTGTGGAGACACTCGACTCGTGTTCACCCGTCCGTCAGTCACTATTTATGTGAGAACCGACCTACCTCATATCTTTGTATCCTTTCTGACTATCTGTTATAATAGTGCCGATGTCCTCGGCTCACTGGTCGATGACAATCCTCCACGATTCCCGCTACCACGGTATTCCGCCGTTTTTCCCGGTACCAAGCAGTCTAGACTGCATTGTGCTCGGGGCCTTCTCATACCATCCGACCTATTCAAGCCAACCTCGTCGCTGGATAAGACAGCAATGGTCGTCATTGACTGCGGCCTGAAATCCGCGTCGCAGCTCGCAACTCTGCTAAACGATGAGTGGAATGCAAATAGGATGACCTTGGATCTATTAATTCCAGTTTGCACGCTGACACACAGCGTCCTGTCGCTCCCGAGGGTAACGAGCTGCATTGGACCAGATGAAATGGCGCAAGACGCTTTAATGCGAATGACACCAGTCTGCGCAGCGGCGGAATTGGTTCGGATATCCGTCCTCGCTCTGCTATCCACTGTGATAAACACCACCTCCGGAGATAACCTATACTGTCCATCGCAGCGAAGAACCTATGCTCGGCAACTTCTAACACGATGTGATGCTGGAGTCTGGACTGGGTTCGCAGAGATGAAGCTGTGGGTGCTAATCATCCAAGCATTGGTAGACGCAGGATCAGCCAGACTTTGGTTCTTGGATGAGATCATGAGCACCATGTCACGTCTATCTCTACAGTCTTGGGACGATATAATGTCTTGTCTACGCCGAGTCGTTTGGGTTGAAAAGGCGGCCATAGAGGAGATGGAACAACTCAAGAGCGATATTGAGGTGCGTCTGGCACACAGAGCTCACCCATGACAGCGGTTTTGGGGCGAACTGGGTATTGCTATCGAAGTTGGCAGGGAATGAAATGATTTTCATTGTTGGCTCTCATTCAACCATGGTACACAATCTAGCGAGCAACTCCTCCATTGACACCAATGTACTGGCCCGTGATCCACCTGGACTTCTCGTTGACCAAGAGAAGTACAGCATCGCCAATATCAGCGGGGGTTCCCGCACGGTCCTCAGCCCTCGTAATCGCTATCTCCGCCGCCATGAGCTCCTCCGCTCGTCCCTCCGGGTATATGTCTGTCAGTACTGGGCCGGGCGCTACAGAGTTGACCGTGACGCCCTTGCTCCGACCGAGCTACGAGAGGGGCAAAAGAAATTAGCGATGTGCCAAAACCAAAATACACCACGCATCTCAAAGGTTTGAACAGCCACGTAAAAGGAGAGGCAGGTAGCACTGAAAAACGACGGCGGATGGAGACGTAACAAACATACCTCTTCGGCCCAGGTCCATGTCAGATTGTCCAAAGCTGCCTTGGATGCCGCATACGTTGAGATATAGGGATTCCCCCTCTTGGAATTTGTAGAACTGATGTTGACAATGCGGCCACCACGGGGCATGTACGGGACAACGCTATTGACCATGTAGAATGGACCAATGATGTTAAGCTGGAAAACCTTGGTCAACTGTTCCGCGTCCGGCTCGGCGGTGATGGGGCTGAAGAAGCCAGTGCCGGCGTTGTTGACTATCCCACAAGGGCACAGTCAGTTCAACATGAGCATAAACCCGCTTAATAGATAGCGGCTTCTCATACCCAGGATGTCGATATGGCCAGTCTTGAAACCTTCAAGTGTCTGTCTGACAAGATCACGGGCTCCTTCGATGGTGTCCACGGCAGCTCGCACAGCGATAGCCTGCCCGCCGGCTTCGCGCAAGGTTTCGCAGACGTTGGCGGCGCGATCCTTGCTAGACTCTGAGACGTAGTTGACGACGACGGAAGCGCCATTACGAGCGAGTGCGAGGGCAATACCTGCTCCGATGCCATTTTCTCGGCCTGAGCCTGTGACAATGGCGACTTTTCCGTGCAGGCTAAGAGTGTCGGCCGTCATTTTCGTTGTGAAGAGGAAGCAAGATGGTCTTGTCTAGTACATGAAGGGAATATTAAGGCAAAAAAAAACCTGCTGTCGCTATGCCAAAAGAGAGGATTAAGAAAGCAATGGAGGCGGAAGTTTTGCGCGTACTTATACTTCTACTTCTTGGTGCCGAGTGTGTCCAACCCCGAAGGCTATGCAATGACGAGTACAGGCCGGCTTTAGGTCGGTCCCCGAAACTTATCTGTGAAATACAGACCCTACGACGTCTTCTTAGTAAGTATTCCCGTTGGTTAAATCCGTTGGGAAGGACACTTTGACGGAGACAAGAATCCCCGCCATGCACATTTGAGTTTCAATTTACGTTTTGCTGAGGCTAACGTCGAAATATTTCCTAATTAGGAAAATGGTGGTGCGTCATTTCACGGCTGGAAGCCGAGGCAGACACATTACCTAAATACGAGTGTCAGCATTTATGCATACTACACGCAACTCTCGTATTATTCCTCTACCTACGGTATAATTTTTCTATTAAGATTATACGGTATGAATACTAGTGTTGGATCCGAAGGTGAGGAGTGCTCTGCGGAACTCTTGGTCCTGGTCTGTCATAAGGGACCACATTGCCAACAGTGGCGACACTTATAATCGGGGATCCTGCTCTTTGCCTGTTCTTAGTCTTGCCGCTACTGCTGAGATCGATTACCGCGGCGGTTCTCAGGCCATCAAGGGGGTCAGGGTGTGATATAGCTCATTGACGCCCTGGATTGGGACGGCTGATTGAGATTTTAGGGTGAAGTTTTGCGCCTGGCCCTGCAACCCTTGGGAAAAAGGAGAGAAAAGTGAAAAAAAAAATAGAGATACAACATCAGGGATTCGCTGGTCGTCACCGACACAACTACCAGTCTAGCGCTTCGTGGTTTATGTATAGGGGAGCGGACGGGACCCTCAGTTTTCCACGAGCTATGGTCGTATGTGAAAGTTAGAGTTCACACTGGAGGATATAATGGTATACGGTAATGGCAAGTAACTGTAGTGCCGCGGGTGAGGGGGACACGCGCTCGCCACTTGACACGACGTCGGAGCTCTTACGCGGGAACTCGGATTCCTCGGGGCATATCTCTCAGGACGAAACGTTACTCTCGATATTCCAGAGGGTGAACAGTCGGGGAATATAGAGACGTTGGACCACAGGGGTAAGTTCAGGTTCGATGACAAGCCGTGCGAGGTGGACCAGTTCATTCTCATCCTGTTGGCCGACACGATCAAGAAGCCCGCAGATATACGCAGTCCACCTTGATCGGCGTTACCAGGGACGATGGTGTGACTCCACTGAGTAATGACAACAGACATAGGCCCGGAGCGAGCCTCCGAGGAGAGGTACTTGCACGTAATAGAGCGAGTGAGTTGGCCGCGTGCCTGGCTGCTTTGGGAGCCTGCCCCAGCGGTCTGGGCGAGCAAATGTGGTGAGAATTTCGGGGCACCATTCTGCTGGCGTCCCCAGCGTGCATCGGGACAGGACACGTCATCCCGCCTGCCCTTGGCCTAAACGGCCAACAGGAGCCGCGATCCTCTATGGGCGGCCAGGTAGCTATAAACGGGGGAACATCACCCGCCGGCCGGGCGAAAAAAACGATTCTCGATAAACCGGAGATTCACAAGCTTTCCAGCGCATCTATTTCTTGAGATCCTCGAGAAGGCCGACGCAGCTGCTGTGCCGGCGATGCCAGCATTTTTGCCGACAATATGGCCCAGCTGGCCTAATTGTGTCGTATCGGGAAACTCGTCCTTGGAGAACAGGACTCGAATTTCATCGCCGTTCTTGCCATCGTATGGACGGGCCCCGGTCATAATCTCGTAAACGAGCGAGCCAAACGCGAAAATATCACTTGCACTGACAAAGACGACCCGGGGAAGCAGTAGCTAGCCGGGCTCTCG